AGACGTCATGCGCCGATGGTGTTCCGAATCTGGAGACTTTATTTTGCCAATTGTGACATCCACGAATGGCACTCTGAATCCGGAGGCTTTATTGGCCCAAAGACGTCATGCGCTAATAGGGCTTCGAATTCGGAGGCTTTATTTTGCCAATCGTGACATCCACAAAGGGCGCTCCAAATCCGAAGGCTTTATCGGCCCAAAAATGTCATGCGCTGATGGGGCTCCGAATCCGGAGACTTTATTTGGCCAATCGTGATATCCACGAAGGGCACTCCGAATCTGGAGGCTTTATCGGCCCAAAGACGTCATGCGCTGATGGGGCTCCGAATCTGAAGACTTTATTTGGCCAATCGTGACATCCACGAAGGGCGCTCCGAATCTGGAGGCTTTATCGGCCCAAAGACGTCATGCGCCGATGAGGGTCCGAATCCGGAGGCTTTATTTTGCCAATCGTGACATCCACGAAGGGCGCTCCGAATCCGGAAGCTTTATCAGCCCAAAGACGTCATGCGCTGATGGGGCTCCAAATCCGGAGACTTTATTTGGAACACTTTTGAACTGGATTGCATAGTGAGTAAACGGGAATCTTTGCCCTACAGAAGTGGAAAGTGTACATGGTGAGCCATTCAGAACCAAAATCATTCCGCACAGGTCAGGTTTAATGATAGAATTTGCCCAAGTGCGTTAGGAGCAAGGCCGTGTGCCTAATTTTCCATCAACTGGCCTCCTATCATCCGGAAATACCTTCAGAAGTAACTTTCCCGGCGTGTAGCGGCGCAGCTGGACGCGTTAAACATACGTCTTGGGAAGCTGCTGCTGGTATCGCCTAGAGCTTCCATGGCTTTTCGTCAGGGAGCCGTCCGACATCGTCGAGACTGTCTCGATTCGACACTTTAGTGGAGTTGACCTGCGTCTCCGTTGGTATCTTTCCAGAAAGGAGATGGCATGCTTGTGTGGATTGCCGGGAACCACGAATTTGCTCAACGCCGTGTTCGATCGGGAAGCGTAGCAGCTGATGATAAGTGCTTCGCACGGCCTGAATAGTATGCAACCAAATTCGCCCCATGATGAGGTTATACGACGAAGGGAGCTTGACGACTAAGAATTCCACATCCACTGTTTGGGAGCCCGCCCGAACGGGTAACGTGATTTTCCCCAACGGGTACTCTGGATTTGCGTTGAAGCCGAATAATGGATGAGGAGCCGGAGACAGGTCTAATTTGTTGAAGCCGAGTTTGATGAAGGTCTCGTAATACATGACCTCCGAAGTGCTCCCCTGGTCTATGAGGACACATTCAACGGTAAATCGGTTCACGTGTAGTTCAATGACCAATAGATCAATATGGGGGAGCGTTATGCCGATAAGATCGGAATCGTTGAAGGTAATGCTCGGAGCTTCGTGGGGCTATTTCGTTTGTGTGCGTTGCTTCTAGGGGGCTGAATGAATTGCGTGTATGGTACGTGGCGTTGGAAGGCTGTATATCATATGTATAACGCCGAAGGGAGGTGACTCATGCCTAAGGGCGACAGTTTTTATTGTGCTCTTCTGGACGTGTTGCTGGAGCTGACCATCTTGCACCAATTCCTCAAGGTGGTCTTTCAAGGCATAGCAACTGTCCGTATCATGGCCGTGATCTTTGTGATATTCACAACGCCTGTCCCGCCTTCTCGTGTCAGGAGGTCCCACCATCTTGGACGGCCATTTGAAGAATGGAAGATGTTAGATTTTGGACATAATCGAGCTGATTGGCTCTGACAGCTCTGTATATTTCCTGTCGGTGTGCTTTGTGCGCCTGCTATCGACCTGCAGTTGCTCATTTGCTTGGTATGAGCATTGATCGCTGGATCGGCGAGAATCCCGTCTCTTGTCTCGTTTAGCCTGCTGTCGTGGTTCAGGGCTCTGAGGTGGTGCGGAACTTATCGGCTGAGCGATTTCGAGAGGGGCCATTTTGTTGGCCACATGTCCGGCTTTAACCCGCAAGGCATCATCTTCCACTTTGCAGTATTCATCTACTTTCTTCATCAATCCCCAAACTGTTTTGGGGGGTCTTCTAGTCAAAGAACTGAGGAGGGCACTATCTGGGTGTAATCCCATTTTGAAGGCGGTGATGGCCATGGAGTCGTTGCAAGCGTCATCAACAAAATTAAAGCATTCCCAATATCGCACCGAATATGCTCTTAGTGTTTCTCCTGGTAGGATTTGCATTGTCTAGAGAGAGTCAGCTTGCTTCGGCTGGACTTTGTTGGTGATGAATCTGGCCCTGAAGGATTTCTGTAGTTAGTGGAAGGTTTTGATCGAAGCCGGCTCCAATTTATAATACCACCTGACCGCCAATGGTCCCAAACTGCTGGGAAATATTCGGCACATGAGGGCCTCGTCGTCTGCATGCAAGGTCATGGCCTGCTTGTAGTGGCGGATGTGGTCGGTGAGGTCAGATTTGCCGTCGTACAAGGTGAACGATAGTGCTTTGAATTTCTTGGGTAGTGCAGCCTTTGCAATCTGTCGTACGAAGGGATCGTGTTGGTCTTCGTCCGAACTGTTCCTTCTTCGCTTGTGCATTGTACGGTAGGGGTGTTCGCGGATCGGTTTTGTGCGGTTTGCGGTTCGGTTTTGACCCGCCCGCATTTATGCGGTTCGGGAAAAAGTCAACCCGTAACTGCCCGCAGTGCGGTTTGCGGTTTGTGCGAATAGGGTTTGCAAATGTGCGAGCGGTTTGCGGTTTGCACTTTTTTCTTTAAAAATTAATTTTCGAGTTTTTTTTCCCCAGCGAATTTAGGCATCATATTCATTTTATATATTTGTGATAACAATTTTTTGATGAGTTTACAAATAAAAATTGAATATCAATGCATTAAATGAAAGTACCCAAAACAAAGAGACCCTACACTAGCATTTTTGCCATGAAAAAAATGTGTATCAATGCATTAAAGGTTGTACTCAATTAGAATTGCCAGTTCAGTAATCAATAATCAAACTATAAGTTCCATCGACCATTAGAAGGAAAATTTTATTAGGAAAAAGTGGATGAATCACCAATGAAAATCATATAAAAAACCAAGTTTAAGACTTGATAATTCTACGGCATTAAGAAAGTTGAGAAATACTTAAAAATAAGGATCCTAATGTCATAGAGAATATAATGGTGCTCCTGTAAAAGTTACAAAGTTGGTTATAAAAAAAAAATAATAATAATAATTAAAGTGCGGGCGGTTTTTGCGGGTTGCGGGTTTAAACCGCGACCCGCCCGCAACCCACAAATTTGTCATATTTCAAACCGCATCCGCCCGCATTATGTTTGCGAAACCGCCCATTTATATGCGGGTTGGGCGGTTTGAGCGGTTCGGATAAACCGTTGCCCACCCCTATTGTACGGGGACTTTCTTCGGAAGAACTGGTGGTTTCATGTCGTCCCTTCTTCCTAGGCTCCGGGGATAATGAGTCGGAGTCGCTATCAGTGTCTTGTCGTGCTCGAGGTTGTCGACCACTTGCCTTTGGAGATCGTTCCGGATTTAAGCGCGCAGCTTGCTTGGACTTCGCCATTTCCAAGGCCAAATCTTCACGAAGATGTTCGTTTTCAGCGATCATGTTCTCCAACCTCTGTTCATTTTGCTTTGCTTGTTCCATGATCGCCTGCATTGTCTCGTGCTCCGAAGTCGAGGGTGAGGCGAAATTCAAGGCACGTCTTGCGGCGATAGTCTCTGTTCCAAGCAAGTTTGTTGGAGTTGTTTCATCTTGCGGTATAGGGTCGACAGTGACTGTTGAAGGATCTTCTGTCACGCTCACCATGGATGTGCTTGAGTATTCCCACAGACGGCGCCAATTGTGGAGAAGTGGTTTGGAAATACTCTTTAGATCCTGGAGAACGCTCGTGATCCTCTTCTGGTCACCTGAAAATGAATAAACACTCCGGTCAGGGGTGCCGGAATTAGCACTCTGACGGACAAGTCAGAATCCACACTCAAGAATGCTTGTATTCTAAGTTAAGCACAACAATTCTCACATACCTTTCTTAATCTGTTGTTCCTTTATTTATACTTGTTTCCTGGGCCTCGTGACCAGGCCCACTTGTCACTCCTTATCCTCTTATTTACTCGGCTCCATAGTTCAGTATCTATTCAGCTTATCTATTATATTTGGCATCCTTATCGTGCAGGATAGAGCCGTGTAATATCTGTCTTCTATAGTACGCTTCTGATTATTCTAATTGTCTGGCTCCCACAAATATCTAAGGTGACTTGATAATAAATTTAACATATTTGTACATGAAATTACATATAATAGATAATATATAATCAATTTAAACATTGTTAATCAATTTTTTTAGGACATATTTTTTGGCCTTTGAGGTGATGAGATTGGATTAATAATTTCGTGAGTTCCACCAAACCCATGTTTGGTTGTGCCACATATTAAGGGATTTTGAATTTCATGAGACTATTAATCCTACTTGGGGATAGGATTAGCACTCTAATGGAGGACGTGGGATCGCTAATCCAATCCCCTTATATTGAAGCAAAATGTCTATTTTGCCCTCTATTTATCAAAAACAATAAAAAAAAGATTATGTAATAAAGATTTTTACATAATTTTATAAATTTAATCTCAACCAATTAATACTACTAGATTATCCATCAAACCAACCGATTTTATCTTACATATCTAACTTAATACTACAATATTATTAATCTTCTCACTCAGTTACCATATTTATAATCTCATCCAACTAAATCCAACACTAGTTAACCAAATCCTTTTTTTTTTTTTGGTATAAATTAAAAATTCCTATAAATTCCTAATTTTCAAAGTTCCATGTTTTTGTTATTATTATTTTTGGTTTCTTCCATTTGCATTGTTGTCCATAAATTTTCAATCTAGAGAGACACCTGTAATTCTCAGAATCGACCGACAGGCTTTTCTACTTTCCAAAAGAATCGAGAGAGCTTCTCTCTCATACAACTCCTGATTCCTGAACCAGCAACCCCGAGAGAGAGAGAGAGAGATGGCAGACCGTTTCTTTCCCAACGAAATGCCTGATTTCATCCCAGAAACACCCGAATCATCAGCCTCCGAAAGATCCGAAGATTCGCTCACCAAGCTTCTCTCTCTTCCTTACAAGACACTCGCTGAAAGACTCAATCGAGCAGCTCTGGACCTAAAACAAACTGTTAGCATCATTTCAACGCAAAAAAAAAAAAAAAAAAAAAAAAAAAAACCCCATTTGATATTTTATTTGCACAGAGCTTTGTGTTGCCCATTTTGTGTTTGTTGATTTGACCCAAAGAAATGCCCACCAAGTGTTTGTGTTTGTGTTTTTGGATTTGGATTTGGTTCTTGCAGGTTGTGAAGGAGACATGGGGGAGCAGTGGGAGACGCGTACATGACGACTGTATTCTCTACACTGGGGTTCTTGGAACTGCTTTCTTGCTCTTCAAAGCTTACCAAATTAGTAACAACAAAGATGATCTTAATCTCTGCTCTCAGATTGTTAAGGCCTGTCACACTGCATCTCGCAGTTCTGGGTATCTCTCTCTCTCTCTCTCTCTCTCCAAAAATTGTGTGATTTATTTATTAAAATGAGTAAATTGGCTCAAATTGATTAGAATTGTGCACCCAATATTGAAACTACTCTTAACTTACGCTTTAAATGAAATAACCCACTTAACTGAACTAGGTGGTGGTTTAGTTATGTGGGAGTTTGCTGAAGTGGTCAAACCATTCATTGGAAATTAACAACTTAGCTTTACTTGGCTTGTCATTGTAATTGTGGGTTTGATTATTCTATGCACTCATTTGCAGGCTATGTCAAACTTAATGAGTATTGATAATTAAAACTCAGCCCAAATAGGACTGTCATGTGATATGTGATAGTGCTTAAAATGGATGATATTATGTGCTGGCTCAGTAGTTGTAGAACTGCCGTTGAAAGAGTGATTTAGCTTAAATAGGTTTGTCTTATGTGATTTGTGGGATGGCAGGTGCGTGACATTTATCTGCGGCCAGGCTGGTGTATGTGCTCTTGGTGCTGTTGTGGCAAAGCACAGTGGTGATGAACGACTGTGCGATCAGTATTTAACCAAATTTAAAGAGGTTATTGATTGTTTTTGTTAGTTCCATCACCATTTAATGTGTTTGTCACTTGGTATATTATTGTGTATTCTTTTCTGCTTTTGGGTGCAGATTAAACTTCCTAAAGATCTTCCAAATGAATTACTATATGGGAGAGCAGGGTTCTTATGGGCATGCTCATTCTTAAATAAGAATATAGGAAAAGATACCATATCTTCTTCCCGCACAGTAAGCCTTTGTGAAAACTTTGATGTCATTCGGGCTCCCTTTGTCTTGAATAAGATAGTTGAATCAACTATTTATATATATATTTGCAGAGACCTGTTGTGGATGAAATTATCAAGTCTGGTAGAAGATTGGCAAATAAGGGAAGATGCCCGTTGATGTATGAATGGCATGGGAAGAAGTACTGGGGAGCTGCCCATGGATTAGCTGGGATTATGCATGTTTTGATGGACATGGAACTGAAGCCTGATGAGGTGGAGGATGTCAAGGGTACATTACGCTATATGATCAAAAATCGCTTCCCTAGTGGCAACTATCCTTCAAGTGAAGGAAGTGGATCAGACCATCTTGTACATTGGTGCCATGGTACTCCTGGAGTTGCTCTTACCCTTGTGAAAGCAGCTGAGGTAAAGTGCATTGGTGTTGTTATTTTCAAATTTCAGTGTAAATTAAAACAACATACTCATTGCAGAGAATTGGTATTATTTCCACGAGCACTTGTTGGGTTTGCATTACATTGAGGAAAATGAATTAAGAACACAACACCTATTTGATGTCCAAAAACAAATTTGTATTTTGTTGTGAATTAGTATTGTGGAGATGCATCTTACAATCAGCTTTAAGAGAGAACATTCTTAGCACATATGGAAAATTACTCTACTCGATTTTAAGAGAGAAAATTCTTGAGATTTCTGCCTGTTCTGCTTTCAAGTATTATTTAAATATTGTCAGGTTTTTGGAGATGAGGAGTTCCTCAAGGCAGCCGTAGATGCAGGGGAGGTGGTATGGAACCGGGGATTGCTTAAACGGGTTGGGATTTGTCACGGCATCAGTGGGAATACCTATGTGTTTCTTGCACTTTACCGATTAACTGGCAAAGTAGAGTTCTTGTACAGGGCCAAAGCTTTTGCTTGCTTTCATCTTGATAAATCTCAAAGGCTTATATCAGAGGGCAAAATGCACGGAGGCGATCGACCCTATTCACTGTTTGAAGGCATTGGAGGGATGGCTTATTTGTTTCTCGACATGACTGTTCCATCTGAGGCTCGGTTTCCCGCTTATGAGCTTTAATTTACATGATATAAACTAAAGGTATGCCTATCACTTGTGCATGAAGACTTGAATGTTTTGTCTATATATAAAAGAAAATCAATGTTTATGATAGTTTTGTGTTGACAATTAGGTTCTATTCTTTTCTTTTGAGTTGAGCTTGAAAATATTGAGTTATGATGGTGACCCCGTATGTTTCCTAACCATCGTGTGCCAACATGTTCATCATTCATATTCTCCATATGCTGAAACTAACCAAATAAATTGCTAGAAGAAAACAAGGCGACTGATTTTATTATCCACACTGGCTTATACCGAGGCACAGCAACATAACTAAATTCTACACTCACAACAGGATCCCAATACTCAGTGAAGTCCTCTACCTCCACGAGATTAGTCTGATTTTAAGAATCTTACTCAGTGAAGTCCTCTACCTCCACGAGATTAGTCTGATTTTAAGAATCTCATCTCGAAGCCGCCATTTATGCCAAACCAACAAGTTTCTCACTAAGTTCCCATACTTTACGAGCTTTCTCCACATCACTGGCTTCTTGAGACAGCTGGTTCTCAAAGTTGGCTGAGTCCTTGTTCCAGCTCCAGTAGACACCGGACTTTGTCAAAGTCGGATCACTCACAACCTGAATCAGAAATCGACAACTTGAATTGAATGCAGAACATACACAAGAACACATGCACTTAAAAGAAATCTTAGCCCAACAATGTTTTCCGTGCATTTTCTTTGTTTTGTTTTTGTGCACCTAGGTTTATGATTTTACCTGAGCAAGTCGCTTTCCGGATTCTTCTTCGGATACAAAACCCTTTGTGATGTACTTCTGGAATGGAGGGAAGAGGATCCGGAACAAGGGGATGTGTTCCCTGAACAAGCCTGTGGTGGCAATGCAACCCGGGTAAAGAGAAGCGAATGTGATCCCGGTTTCCTCGTGGTAGCGACGGTGGAACTCTTGCATGGTGAGCATGTTGCAGACCTTGCTGTCTTTGTATGCCTTGGCGCCATCGAATTCGCCACCGTCGACCATTGCCGAGCTGTTCAGGCCATTCAAACCCCCAACAAGCCCCCTCATGTCCCCTAGGTAGGCCTTTGGAGGCACATTTCCAGCCAGGGTGTTTGTGTTACCTGTTAAATGTGGTAAGAGCAACACTGCATTTAGTACATCACAAGTGACATGGAAGTGTTCATTAGCCATTCACAAATTTAGTATGATAGAGACACAAAGTATGGTTCTAAATCGCCGTATCAGAAGGTGTAGTGGCGGTAACGATCGCAGACGGATAATCCGATTGGGTATAAAATTGTCCTGCGTACCGCATTTAAACAGCCTGTTTCACCCTAATTTTTCTCAGTACCTGTAATCGAACCGACAATGATGAGTCTTTTTGACGGATAATCGGATTGCTTCAAGTCCTCCATCATCAACCTTGACAAAAGAAAGTGTCCAAGATGATTAGTCCCAACACTAAGCTCAAACCCATCAGCAGTAAAAGTAGGCTCCTTGGCAGTAGGCAGATACACAGCTGCATTGCAGACCAGCACATCGAGAGGCCGCCCCGATCGCCTGAAGTTGTCAACAAACTGCCTGACACTGTCAAGCGACGCTAGGTCCAAATGCATGACGGTGTAATTGTCCTTGGCAATGCCGGCTGACTTGGCTGCTCTCTCGGCTTTCAGGAAGTCCCTGCAGGCCATGATAACATGCCATTTGCCGGTTTCAGCTAGGGCTTTGGCGGTGGCGAGGCCTAAGCCGGAGGATGCTCCTGTGATCACGACACTGCCCTTTCGCAGGGTTTTTTTGGCCTCGGGGGTGGATACGTTGATTGCTGGAGTTGTAGCCACTGCTTGAATTGCAAGGTTTCTTTGGTTGCAGTCCCTCTGTGATCAAAACCAATTTGAATCATTCACCAAAACACAGATTTCAAATGAGAAACTAAACCAGACAAGCTGGGAACTCAAACTGAAGACCTCAATAATTGAGGTAGTTTGATAACATTGCGTTTTTTTTTTTCTTTTTTTGGTTTGCATGAAATAGAAAATAAATTTTTATTTAAAAAAATAAAATAAGAAAAAAACACTTGAGTGTACACAAATATTTTGAAAAAACAAAAAAATAATGTTCAGTGAATTGCTGGAGGAACTGATTTTGCTAGTAGAGGGCGGTCAAATGTGGTTACTGGAAGTGGCAGTGGCTAGAGCGATCGCCTAATGGTGGGGTGGTGGTGACTAGAGAGTGAAAATTTGTTTTGGAAATAAAAGAAAACATGTTTTTTTTTAATCAATTCCACTTTTATGGAAACAATATCAGTATATCAAATAAGTTTTTGTTCCTAGGGTGATTGATCAATAAATTTCAAATTTTAGGCTTATAATCTATATAATTTCATATTTTTCTTATAATTTATGGGCTAGTTTGGCATGTTTGAAAAAAATCAAAAAGTCACTATCTTATTTAAGTTATATCATCTTATTTAAGTCACATCACCTCTCTAACACGTCACTTCAAATCCAACTCAAACCCAACCCATATTTCATAAAAAGTCAAAAAATACACTTATTTAGATCATCTAAAACAACCTCAGTCTTTTTGAATGTGTAATGACTTATTTGTCCGTCACATTGGAGTGTCACATTTGAAAAAAGTACACTAAAGAGTTTTTAATTTTTTTGGAGTGTCACGTCATACCCGCCAAATTGGAGTGTCACATGTCACATTTAGAAAAAATGCACTAAAAAGTTTTTATTTTTTTTGGAATGTCACATCATACCCATCACGTTGTCACATTTGAAAAAAAAATACACTAAGTAGTTTTTATTTATTTTTAGAATGTCATATCATACTCATTATGTTGTCACATTTGAAAAAAATACACTAAGAAGTTTTTATTTATTTTTAGAGTGTCACATCATATTCAACACGTTGTTACATTTGAGAAATACACTAAGGAGTTTTTAATTTTTTTAAAGTGTCACATCATATTCGTCACATTATCACATTTGGAAAAAAAAATACACTAAGGACATGCTGTCATATTTGAGAAAAGTACATTAAAGAGTTTTTTTTATATATTTTTAGAATGTCACATCATACTCACCACGTTGTCACAATTAGAAAAAAGTACACTGAGGAGTTTTTATTTTTTTAGAGTGTCAAATCATACCCGACACGTTGTCACATTTGGAAAAAAGTATACTAAGGAGTTTTTAATTTTTTTAGGGTGTCACATCATACCTGTCACATTGTCACATTTGAAAAAAATACATTAAGGAGTTATAATTTTTTTTTGGAGTAAAAATTTTTGAGTGTCATATCATACCCGTCATATTGTCACATTTGAAAAAAGTACACTAAGAAATTTTTTATTTTTTTGAAGTGTCACATCGTTAGTGTCACATTAATGCATGTCATATTAGAGTATCACATCATACTTATCACATTAATAAAAAGGTATGGTTGTCTACCAAAACACTACTAAAATAAAAAATGGGATTACACGAAAAGAAACACTCCACTAATAAGACCTAATAGATTAATAGAAAAAATTTGGAACTAGTCAGTACTTGTTTGTGAGATGGAATTTATTAGTAAATATCTCTTGTTTCTGATTTAAAAATAAAATAAATATGAAAACCAAAACAGAATTTCGAAGTGCTAAAAGCAATTTACCCATATGTTATCACTAATGCTTTAGCAGGAATCATCACTGAAAACACTTTTAAGTGTTTTTATGAAAAAATAAATGAAATAAATGTAGTTAAAGCATGACAAGTACCTTGATTCTCAATGAACAAGAGCTGGAATCAGCTTTGACATGATCAGAGAGTGAAATTCCCAAGAGAGTGGAATTCTTCAAATATGCACTTGACTTGCTCTGCAACAAGTACCACATTTCCTATAAGTTAAATTTAAAGTTTTTATTACAAGAAAACAAAAACAAAAGGCAAGACAGGCACCTCCATTCAGTTACAATAATTGTTTTGAATTGTAACTCGACTCCGAGTTACGACAATGTGGCTGAGTTATAACTTAGATCACATCACGTTATAATTGAGAGAGGGTGCACATTACAGATTTTTCGATGAAAAGCTTTCGAAGCAAAAACAAAAGGGGAGTGAACCTCTTTGGGGATGGAGAATGCAGAAGGAAGCAGAGTAGCAGCAGCAGCAGACTGGAGAGCCATGGATGAGAGCACCTTCAAATTGATGAACTTTTGGGACTGAAGGAACTTTCAGTGAATGTGTGAAGATATATAAGGAGTTGATGATGACTTTTTTGAAAACAAAAACACAATGGGTTCTGTGATTTGGATATGAAAGAGTGGATAAGATAATTTTGGTAGATAAATTCTAGTGCTTCAATTCCAAGCGACCAATCAGATTTTGATTTTGGGATTTCATTTGATATTTTTATACTTTTTTATTTTTTTATTTTTTTGAATGTATGGGTAGGGTGTAGTCGGGATTTTTTTTTACCTAAAAAAGAAAGGGATATTTAGGGTGGCCCCACAACGTGATCCTCTGCCAATAGTCATGGAAAAAGTATGGGTTGGAGATGCACACAAATTAGGGATTTTTTATTTATTTATTTTCTTGGTGTAGTTTCCATTTTATTCACTCAAAAGATTCTCTTCTATGAATAGTGGGACATGGAACTCCCAATTGGTTAGGAAAATGCTCAATACATACGGCATATAGTTTTATTTTAAATTATATAAATTTTTACGAATTTATACAAGTAATCATATAAAAATATATAAATTGAATATAAATTTATGTAAATTTATATAAAAAAAAATTATGTACTTATGCGAATTTATATTGAACTAACGTATTTTTATGAAATTATTTATGTAATTTTGTGTAAAATTGCATATGGTGTGCAATATACATCTAAGATTTTTCATCAAGTTATTGTACTTCAAAATTGTTGAAATGAGAGCTGAGATTCGAGCTTATAGAACAGAATTGAATGTTTGGTTGTGGTAAAAGCTTGAAATGGGCAAGTAATTATAATAAATTAAATAATAAAAAAATTATTTGATATATCAATCGGGCATCTAAATAAGGCAGATTTCCATTGATCATTATCAAATCTATTAAATTTGCACGGATGGAAGATATCTATTATTTTATTTTAGAGTTTTTAATGATTCTTTCTAAATTTAACAATATTTAGATCCGACCCAGATAAAAAATTCCAAATCCAATCCATTACAAACCTATGTTAACAAGTCCAGGCCCAGCAGCACGTAATTTATTTCCCTAATTTAGTTACCTACACAAATATATCACCAAAATAATCACAATTTAATCAAAATGATACAATTTAAATAAATCGATTTACTAGCATTTCAAACTACCTAAATCGATCAATTTTTCCAGATTCACAACCCCGGTTCATGTACGCATAGATGAACCTTCAAAAGAATTCTGCTTAAATTCAATATACTTTTTGCCATGCTCCTAACTCTACAATTCCTCCATCTGTTCCTAGATTCACTGTGATTTCCCCCCTCGACAAACCTCTCTCTCTCTCTCTCTTCTTTTTGCCAAGTCGGATGTGCTCCAAATCCGACTAGCACAAGCACTAGGAAACAAGAAATGAACTCACTAATATTACAAATCCCAGCACCAAATATGTCTGTACAAATTTTGCCAACTTAGGGTAACAGAATAAATTGCAGACCTTAATCAACGTGCTAGACTTCTCAAATCCGAACTGGCAATCCAAAATTCTGGAAAGTTCTGATTTCCCCTCGAAGGCTAGCAGTTACAATTACCATGCCCCATGCTGACCTACTTTGGCTTGTCCCATTAGTGAAATCCACACTAACACGAGGAGGACTGCCAGGGTTGTTGCTAGCCAAAACAAGTTTTTCCTCCGGCCATGTTGCTGAGATTCGATCAAAGAAGTAACTGTTTGTTGCGCTCGAAATGGTTCCATGAAGCGGACTACTTGAGCACCCAGATGCCAATGGTGATTTCTCGTCATTAAACTCTTCAACAGGTGTAGGAGGATGATTGGCAGTGGAGACCTCATCCAAATGATCGGTTTGAGCGTCTTGGAATCCCCACGCGTCGCACATGCCCGGCCAAGGGATCGCCACTGACACGTCTTGACAGTGGAAATGCTCATACGACTGTGTAACGGTAACACCTTTGCTTCTGCTGGGTCGGGAATCACCTTCGTGTTTCCAAATATAGACATGAGAATCCTCGCTCGCACAAAGCACATATTTTGCATTTGCTGTCAGGGACGCCGAGATTTGACTGTTCGTGTTGCGAAACCCTGTCATCAAATCAACACCAACTTACAGTATGAGATAAATAAATAATTCAGAAGCAACACCGTTCAGTCATTGTATCCGTAACCTAACTGTACAAATAAATAATGGTGAAGAGCCTCTTATGTACATTCATATCCCTGTAAAATTTTACAGATATTGAACACTATCTATTATTACACATTAAGCTGAAGTAGTATGCGTCGTCCACTTGTTACCGAGATAATCTTGACAGATATTCTTGATGCTAATAAAAAACCGCTCCCTAGTCCCTACTTTTTCTCCTACTTCCTTAACCTTTTCTCTACCACATGCATGCACTCAGACCATGAGTGCCACCCTTTTAGTGATCATGGAACAAGATGAACCCAAGGGGGCAATTTCCAACTGTACCTCATCAGCAGAAAATTAATATTTCACAATTGAAACTGTGACCTTGATATGGAAATTGAGTGCAAAATACAGAAAGGATCCTAACCTGACTCATAAAAACACCAACCCATAGCCAGACCTTAGTTGCATGAAGCGGGAGTGGGGGCGGGGGCGGGAGCGGGAGTGGGGGCGGGGAAGCGTGAGCGGATAGAAGTTTCTTAGGTTGGGAGCGCCTCGGGAAGCGGTAATATATATATATTTTTAATAGTTATTTCTAAAATATATTTATTATATAAAGGTGAGTTAAATAATTATTTTTAAATATATTTATTATTTTTATCTTAGATATTATTTTTATAGATAATATTTTTAATTTATTTATATATATTTTTAATTTTTAATTTTTAATTGATATATATTATAAATAAAAAATAGTAAAATAATAAAATATGTCAGCATCATAGTATCATACTCTCTCATAGAGTTGACAAGAGAACCAAACTATCAAAGAAACCTTGATTCTGCTCCATAGAAGGTTTACAATGTTCTAAATAATGATGCCAACTTTAACTGACACTACTGAGTTGATTGATTCAATCGAGTATCAATATCCGAAGTATCTATTTGATGCACTAAATAGCACTCCATAAGACTGTAACCAGCTTTCTTACAATGTATCCAAAAAAATAAAAAAAGATTGTAACCAGCTTTATACATTCAAGAAAGTATATATGGTGTATTAGTCTCACCTTTAAACTTGAAGGCCAGAGAGAGAGAGAGAGAGAGCGAGTGAGAGAAGGCAAAGACGAAGGCAAAGGAGACGATGACGATCGGCAAGAAGAAGACGATCTGCGAGAGAGAGAGAGAGAAAGACGATTTGCCAAAGAGAGAGAGAGAGACGAACTGCGACAGAGACGAAATAGAGAGAGAGAGAGAGAGAGAGAGAGCGAGACGACCTTTGAAGTGATGAAAGAAGAAGAAAAACAAAGTAAAGAAGCAGGACATACCCAAAGACGACCTTCAGGTTCTTCACCTTCTTTCTCCTCTCTCTTTGCTGACCAACAAGCTAGGGTTTTTGTTCATAGCCACCAACGATCCCATATTGGATAGGATCGCATTTCTCTCTCTACAAAATGCGATTCTTACACGTTTCTTTCTAAGAAACGCGGAATCGCGTTTCTTACGAAGATTCGTCACCTGGTTGCACGATTCCTGCAACTAAGAGCCAGACACACCAAATCCAGAAACTCAATCCAGCAGTTTTTGGCCTAAACCGTACCCTCCCAAACAATCCAACGGCTCCAACCCATAGCTAAACTAGTAATAACCAGTTCAGGTTCAGCACATAACTTAACCATATTCTTGACTTATTGGGTTTACTGTTTAATAAAGAATTAATTATTGTAGTGTCTTACTTTTGGTAACATTGATTAGGATTTTCTAGGTTGCCTATATAAAATATGCTTTATATAATAGGTTTTGCGAGACTTCGACTTGACTATTGATTTGAGATTATTTCCCAGTTTCTTCTCCCCTCTTTGTTCTTGTCTTCTCTTCCTGTTTTTTGTTCTTCCCCTCATCTTATTCTTCTCTTCTTTTCTTTTTCTTCTCATTCTGATCTCTTCCCCTGTTTTTTCTACTACTTCACTGTGTTGTTTCAAGTATGCAGGATCCTTGTGTTCTAACATCACCAGGACTGCTAAAACTAAGGCAGTCGAGTTTAGGTTTTGTTCTACTCTACCCTCCCAACTAGGACTGCAAATGAACCTAGTTGTTCACAAACAAGCTCGGCTGAGCCAAGCTTGAGCTCGAATAAGCTCGGCTCTTTTATCTTTATTTAAATTATATTATATAATAAATATATTACTTATATATTAAATAATATATATATAATATAAATAATAGTATAAATACATTATTTATATATTAAATAATATAAATAATATTTAAAAACATCTTATCGAGCCGAGCTCAGCTCGAATTTCATTAATATTAACGAGCCGAGAGCTGAGCTCGAGCTCGAACCCCGTTACTTATCGAGCTGAGCCCGAGCTCAATAAATGAGCTCGATAAGCAAACAAAAGCTCAGCTCGGCTCGGCTCGTTTGCAACTCTACACTCTGCAAAACTATACAATGATTAAGTATACAATGACTACTGCAAAACAGAAAAACTGTGACTAACTAATTTAGCTTCCGTAGGAAAGCATCTCATAGTTAATTTCCCACCTTCAGTATCAGAGAAAAATAGATTAATGGTAATGAGTGTAAATACTTGGCTACGACAACATTGTATCCAATTGCATGGCTGCAAAGCAAGTAAGGGTTGAGAAGATAAAATCTGAGCCCTAATGAATACTAATACCTATAAGATGGATGAAACAAAATAACCTTCTAAAACACACACACCTCTAAAACTAAGCCTAACTGACATAATAACCTCCACTAAAATTCTATCAGCTACCACTTGAGCATCTAAAAGATTTAATAAAATGAAAATTCAGCAAGATTAAATCAAAGGCTCTACCAAGGCTAATCAGACTAATCACTTAATATTTACCATCTTCTGTGGGTTCCACATTAACTTAACTGCATCAGCATCATAGTATCATACTCTCTCATAGAGTTGACAAGAGAACCAAACTATCAAAGAAACCTTGATTCTGCTCCATAGAAGGTTTACGATGTTCTAAATAATGATGCCAACTTTAACTGACACTACTGAGTTGATTGATTCAATCGAGTATCAATATCCGAAGTATCTATTTGATGCACTAAATAGCACTCCATAAGACTGTAACCAGCTTTCTTACAATGTATCCAAAAAAATAAAAAAAGATTGTAACCAGCTTTATACATTCAAGAAAGTATATATGGTGTATTAGTCTCACCTTTAAACTTGTGAACCAGATCAACACCATCAATGACCCGTATCCGTGAATCTGCAGATGTAATGTGCACTTCTGATGAGCTTCCTGGTGCAAACTGTCAATTGAAAACTTATCAGCAACTGGAAAGACATCGAGCAAACATTTCTGGCTCAGAAGTAAACGGTGCAAGGACCATTGCAATGGAAAACGGTAAATAACTTTATGTGAAGCCAAAAAAAAAAATAAAGGAATTCCACTTTATCTTCTATAACTACCATGTCCGCAGAAGTACATAGGATTGGCAAATAAATTACCTGAAAACCAGTGATCTTCTTTTGATGAGATTTCTTTTTCTTATTTTGCAGATTGATTTGAGCTTTTTGTTGCAACTTATTTTCTGGAAAAGCGGGGGAAAAGTTCAATAATAGTTATAGGAGAAAGAAAAGAGATAAAGAGAGAACTATCTTCCGTACCAGAAGTGTTGTATAAGCGGCAGCTCCCCTTGTATGAACCAACCAGTGCACCCTTCAGAAATCAACAAATAGTCATTGAGCCATATATAAAACACCCACATACTATAAAATGACATCTCTACCCGTTTCTAGTCGAGCAAAAGTAAATCAGAGGCTCTGTCTAGATATGGCCAACCTGACCATCTGGTGTATAGCAAGCAGCAGTGACCATCTCATGCAGATCATTCCAATCAACAACTTGACGATCAGGAATGCTCCATATACGAACCTTAGCATCTAAGGATCCACTGATGAAGTATCTATCATCAACAGGATTAAACTGGATGCAAGTTACTGTGTCAAGGAAAATCCAAACAACAGTCAGATAATTAGCTAATAGATCAACCAGAGCAATGAAAAGAATGTGTTTCTTCGGACTCATAATGTGGACAATGATCTTTTACAAAAAAACAAATAAAAAAGAAAAAAAAAAAAACTCCTAATTAGGTATTTTAAAAACACCTAAGAAGTTTTTGTACTATTTTCGAAACAGAAAACATTGATTTCTTTAACAATTGTTCAGGAAGGGTGTTCTCACCATTGGAAAAGGGGGGTCCAAACTCATCCGGTTTTGTGAGTACCATAATTAAAGGCCAAACAATGAAAGTGTTTGGGAAGTTGCTATTTTAGTAGGCTATTTTAGTTTTTAGTTATTTTAGTAGGCTAAATTTTTTGTGTTTAGAAAGATAGTTGGATTTTTTTGTATTTGAATGTGATATTTGTGAGGAAAAAAAAAGTAAAATGATTATGGATTTGATGTGACATTTTGTCATATTGGCTGTTTTAGTCTATTTTGTCTTTTTATGAATTTTAGCCCAAAAAGCCAAAAAATAGCCTTTGCCGAACACCCCCAAATGAGTTGAGGCGAAAGGAGTATAACAGATCAATTACTTACCATAATCACTGTGCGAAAAAACCTTCAAACAAGACTTGCCAGACAAGTGCCAAAGGCGCACAGTTTTGTCCATTGAAGATGAGAGCAAATGCTGAAAATAAAATTTCTGATAGTAAGATGCATTGATTACATATTGGACTAGCCAGAAGCCTGATCCCGTGATCCACAGGAAGCTCAATTGCTTAACTAAGATGCATATATCCATCTTCACAAGATGTCATATAGAATAGACAATAAAAGACAAATACCAATAGATTTTTGACGATACCCATGCCCTTCACTGAGGTTTTTACTCATTTGACATCAACATCCTTTACCTCAAAATTTCATCAGTACAATAGTTATAACAAATTATCCACCTTATCTGACTGAGGTAAAACATTGACAGAAACCAGTGCCCAAAATAAGGATTAAAAGATAATAGCATGTGATGAAAAATGAGTATCTAACACATCCTTTTTTTTATGAGTATCTAACACATCCTTGAACTATCGAACCTTAAACACCATACAAATTCGTGATGCCTCATTGTGAAAAACTGGAATTCCTAGTCATTATAAAGCATTTCCCATTGATTTGCCAAAATACAGCCCCCTCAGCCATATGCAAATTGCCCCTACATTAGCATTTCCCAACTCCCAACGCCCTAAAGGTGTAAAGCATGCTCCAAAGTTTTTTGGGCACCAAAACCTCAACCTCAACCTCAAGCGCAATGCATATTGTTTTCAGATATCTTTTCAGGCTAAATGAACATGTCAAATGGTAAATGGTTGTATTATATAGTTTTGAACAACCTAACTAGTTAACTAACAACAAAACATATCAGAGGTTCAATAGTAAGCCTCGCAGACTCGCAGTAAAAATTTCAAGAGTATCTGCATATAATGTTTCCTCAAGATAGCTCTGTTCAAATATAACATACTTTCTGAACACGGGATGGTTCTAACTTAGTTATTACTCTTCTTATTTAACGATAAAATACTATAGTTAAGCCACCAAATGATAAAGAAGGAAGAAGGTAAAAAAGGGCCCAGAAAGTGACGCAGCCAAAACAATGCATCTAAGAAGCACAGACATAGATGCGGAGACGGACATGGACGCGGACATGGATACAGACACGGGACACAGTGATTTCAAAAAAATATAGACTCGGACATGGCGGGGACATGGCAATAGAATACATTTTCATATATTTTTATTTGCTATCTAGATTAATATTACATCTATAAACAATTAATATAAACAAAAACTAATTCTAATTCTTTCTTTCTTTCTTTCTTTTGTAAAAAAAAAAAAAAAAAAAAAACTTTTAAATTAATACTTATAGTTTATTTCTTTTTTCATAGATGATCTATTAAGTATTTAAGGGGTTGTTTGGGATGTCCTAAATAAGTGCACTTTTTGACTTTTTAGACTAAGGTGAAGGTTGGCATCTCCTCAAAAAGCCAAAAAGCCAAAAAGTTATTCAGAAAGTTAAAAAGTTATCACTATTCACCAAAAAAAATATTAAAAAATTAATTTCACACAAAATTACAACTCAGCAATCATGTATATTCAGCACTGTGCAGCGTTTGTTAAGAAAAATTGCACAGTTTATGTGCAATTTTCAGACACTGTTGTTCGGCCCGTGGAGGCCCATTATGGGTCCCGTTTTGATAATCTGAACCGTTCAATGTGTAGAACTCGTCAAGTACTATATGTCTGTAAAACATCACATTGATCAAAAATCGATAACTACATGATCAAATCAGTTTTATATAAAAAAATGGATGGTGTTATAATTAATGATTGAAAAAAAAAAAATCTAATCAAATAGCTGTCGATATCCGATCAACGTAATTTTTTAGAGGCATATAGTACTCGACGAGTTCTATACATTGAACGGTTCAAGTTATCAAAATGGACCCGTGATGGCCCCCACGGGCCGAACAAAACCATCCAGTGCAATGCCCGAAAGGTAGCCAATAATTTCTTACTATCAATTCGGCAGATTGTACGGCTGTACAGCACACATCTCTAATCTTCTCCTACACTTCTTTATACAATTTTTTAATACACATTTTTTCATAAAAAGTCAAAAAATTAACCCAAACATCCATATTTTTTTCCTCAGTTTTTTAGTCTAAAAAGATAAAAAGTGCACTTATTTAGGACACCCCAAACAACCCCTAAACCATTGAGAGAAAAAAGATGATTGTTTGGGATAACTTTTTGACTTTTTATAAAAAAATGTGTATTAAAATAACAAAATTATCATTTTACCCCTATGCCCTATGCATAGTGACAGTGACTATTGAAGGAAGCAGTAGGGAATGCTTTGAATTGTGTGGTGCTTCAGATTTATATATATAAGATGAAGCTTTCCTCTAGTCATTCATCGGACTGAAGCGGCTTATCACAGGTACCATTTCAATAATCCGAACTATTCAATATGTAGAACTCGTTAAGTACTATATGTCTGTAAAAAATCTCGTTGATCGGATATCAATAGCCATGTGATCAAATCAATTTTGTATAAAAAAAAATACACGATTAAAAATAAACGGCTGAAAAAAATATGATTTGATCACATAACTATTGATATCCGATCAACGTAATTTTTTACAGGCATATAGTACTCGACGAGTTCTACATATTGAACGCTTCCGATTATCAAAACGGGACCCATGGCGGGCCTCCACAAGCCGAACAACACCATTTTTTGCACAATCGATTAGGTAATTTGTACAATCTGATTCAGACTGTACCATTACATCAATGACTTTTTGGGTTGTATTTTTTTTTGTGTAAATTTATTTTTTTATATATATATTTTTTGAATAGTGATAACTTTTTAACTTTTTTAATAACTTTTTGACTTTTTGTCTAGGTTATGCCAAACCAGCCCTAAATGTAAGAAAAAAAATAATAAACATTCAACATTCATCAAAGCACTAAATAAAATGGGGGAAAAAATAACTCAGCATGACCCTAGTGTGTCCCCTAAGTATCCCTGGCGTGTCCCCTAAAAATAAATTAATTAAATAAGAGGACACGCCATGTGGTGTGTCTCATACTTGGCCCGAAGTGTCCGTGTATTCGACACAAATACGGAACTTATTTTGAAGTGTCGGTACTTCATAGCAATGCATAGACAACTCAAATTTTGTAAACAAGGAAGGGAAAGAAGGGGATAGTTAGGCCTCGTTTGGCAAGAGGCTATTTTAGCCAATTAGCCAAAAAGTTACTAAATTAGCCAAAAAGCCAACAACCCATACCAAAAAGTCAAAGATTCTCTTTTCTCTCTACTTTTTGCACATCTTTTCGTAATTAGCCAAAAAGTCATCCCAAACATACAAGTTTTTTTTACCTACCTTTTTAGCCAAATAACCAAAAAGTTACTAAATTAGCCTGTTCCCAAACGAGGCCTTAGAAGCTGATTTTTTTTTAACAAAATGTGAGTTTCCAACCATCCCCTTCTTGCTTGTTTACAAAATTTGAGCTGTCTATGCATTGTTTTGGTTGCATAAAATTCACATATAAGGAAGCTGTCGCAAGCTTGATCAAAAAATTATACATTAGCCTACGTCATTCACCACCCATACAACATGCAACCAAGTTATATAGAAGTAACTTCACCAATTTAAACAATATTTCACAGTAACGGGTAGGAAAAGGTAAGAACAAAAGATTAATTGTTTGGACTGTGTGAGAATAATAATCATATGCGACATGCTACCACAAATGCGAATGAAATACTACCAAAATAGCAGTGCAAGTGTAGCTAACCTGAGACTTGGACCATGACAGGTCAAGTACATCATCAAGATGCCCTTGGAATGAACAAATTGGTTTTTCTGAAAGTGCAAACACAGTCTCTGGCACCATAATGTGATCCAGGCTCACTGATTTCCGGCTTATGGAAGATCTTCCTCTTCTCTTCTTCTCTGGCAGGCTGTCCAAATTTGGTGACAAAGAAATTGGTTCGGGTGACCCATTGGCAACAAAAAAAATATTCAAATTCCCATCTTCTGGCTTATCTATTAACAGATCACCCTTTCTTTCTGATTCCACAACTTGCCACACATGAATCACACAGTCTTCACCGGCACTGGCAAGATACTTACCATCCAGGCTAAACTTAATAGTCCAAATCGAGCCATTGTGAGCCTGTATCTCCTGGCTCTTGTACAGTGCTGTGAGCTCTTTGCATGATTTTCCATACTGTCGAACACGAACTCTCTCGGGGCCATGAAATGTAACATCTTGGCTATCATCAGTGGCTGAGCTTGATCTCCGCCCACCCTTCTCTGATGAAGTATCTCTCTCATCACTGCTCCGTCTCTCCTTATGGCCCGTCATGCTACTTGCAACATTCTTTATGCTCTTCAACCAACTCCCTTTCTTCTTCGATTTTGATCCAATCCCACCACTACCTTTCGCATTAGGATCCACATTATCCTTATGACCATCCTCCACATTCTGCCTCCTCATCAATTCTTGAACAATCGGCGAATGCCCAACACACATCTCAAACTCCTCCATGGTCAACTGCTTTCCAGTTCCCACTTCCTTAAGCTTGTTCCACATACCATCTTCTCTAACCTCATTCACCACAAACTCCTTCCCAGTGTCAAGATTCTTAATTGTACACACTGGGCCATCAACCTCAACAATCCCATTACAACCCGAATCATCGTCTAATTCCCTATCGCCCGAATTTCCCAAAACAGGCGAGGAACTAGAATTAAAATTCAGATTAGAACTGGTGGAATCAATCCTAATCTCCTCCACCCGCCTCGAGTTTTTGCCTGTGGGCGGCTTATTCGGTGAACCAGCATTAAGACCCAACAATCCATTGCCATTTTGAGATTTAACAACACTATGGTTATTTACAAACGGTCCCTCGGGTTTGAAAACCGGCGGTGAAGTTGAATTAATTGAAAGAATTTGAGGAGAACAAATTGAAGAAGAAATAGAATTACATTGATCATGTGGAGAGGCCTCGGTATCCGATTTCGATCGAACAACACCAGGGTTGAAATTACTGGAAGAAATCTGAGCTCGTTGTTGAGTTCGAATCAAATGATCGGCCGAGACCGACCTACCGAAGACACCACCACCGGCATCGAAATCGGCGGAGAGAGAAGGGATTTGGCGGGAAAGAATGGGGTCGCGGCTGAGACCCATCTGGCGGAGAAGTTGAATTCGGCGTTCTTCGACGGAGGAGGGTTCGGAGATCCAGATATCGTAGTTGTTGGACAAACCCATTGGGAATCTAGGGTTTGGAGCATAATTGGGGGAATCCGAAATGGAATTGGAATTGGGATCTCTATCGCGTTCGTCTTCAGGGGGAGAAGAAGAAGAGGAGGAGGAGGAAGAAGAGAAAATGCGATCAAGAGAGTCGTAAAAACAGTCACAGTCCTTGTTGTTGTGGTGTTGGTTAAGACTGGGTTTGATCATCGTTCGGGCATTCCCATCTGAGAATGGAAAATGCCCAGAAACGAGTCCGATCAAATCAGCCCCTCTTCTTCTCGCTGGTGGTCGTCTTCTTCTTCAGTTCCTTCGTCGGAGGGGTTATGGAGGTTTTTAGAGAGAGAAAGTAGGGTAGAGAGAGAGAATTGGGGGAGATGGGACAAGTTGTTTGGGAATTTGGGTAATTTAGGCCAAGTTTGGCATGAGGCAAAAAAGACAAAAAGTCAAAAAGTCACTATCCTATTTAAGTCACATCATCTTATTTAAGTCACATTACCTCACTAACATATCACTCCAAACCCAACCCAAACCCAACTCATATTTCATAAAAAGTCAAAAAGTGCACTTATTTAGTCTTCCCAAACTAAGCCTTAGTTGGGGTTTTTTATTACAGTTATGCAGGATTTAAATAATTTACCGAATTTTTTATTAAATGATGTTAGGATCTATATATATATATATATATATGTAATTTGTATGAGTTTCATACTTACGCGAAAAAAAAAAAAAAAAAAAACAAAAAACAAACTTATCCAAAAAAGGAAATTAGGGCCATTAGGGCTACTGTTTTTAGGGCCACAATTCATTTTTCTTAAATAATTTACCGAATTTTTTATTAAATGATGTTAGGATCTATATATATATATATATATATATGTAATTTGTATGAGTTTCATACTTACGTGAAAAATTTGATAAAAAATTTAATAATTTATTTGGGATATATAATATTTTTCTTTTCATTAACTTGGCTAAAATAGTTATTTTGACTTTTTAAAGTAATTTTTTGACTTTTTAACTTTTATAAATTATCTTGAAAATATTATATAAATTAGTGTTACATTATGCAAAAGCTTGATAATTGGTTAAAATATAAAATCATATCACAAAACAAGATACTCCCTCTATACCAAAATAATTGTCCCTTTGGGGGAATCCAACTTTTTTTTGTAATACAATTATTACACTTTAAAAAAGTTGATTTTTCAAAATTACCCTTTTGATAGTATATTTTTTGGGAATATCAATGTCATAATTATATTTTTTATATTGTTTATTAATTTAAAAGAATGGCAAAATAGGAAATTTATATTATTTTTGTACTTGATTTTTTAAGATGGACTAATATTTTGGGACAATGAAAAATGGAATAAGGGACTAATATTTTGGAACGGAGGAAGTATTTTTTTTTGGTCAGTAAAGAAAATCTTTATTGATAAACAAACCATACAATACATATGAGATTACATCAATAAGGATGAGAAAGAAAAAAGGGACAAAAAGGAAACCAAGCATAGTGTTGGTAAGAAACTAACACTAGCTCACAAGACCACTAAAACTTGATGCCATCACCCATAAACTAGCTAACAAAAGCTTATAACGCACTGAATACTCCAGCTATGCTTACTTGTTGTCGTCCAACATCCTTCTTAGACCAAACCCTCCTATTTGGATCTCTCTTTGTCCTTTAGCTCTAGCTCAATAATCTTGTTCAGCACATCATCTTCTTTTCCATTGAAATTGATGCCAAGAGATTTACCTAATTGTATAGTGGCTTTAGCTTCATTAAGGAGAAGATTGTTCGGACTAGTAACATCCTCGGACAAATCTGAATGGGCTATCGCAGCTGCTGCTAGCTTGAAGATGATGGACCTCGAAGTATGCTTGTTGACTACCGCAGCTTTCTGCCCATGAAGTCTAGCAAAGCTGGTGAGCCCCTCTAGCTAAACCTTCTTCTTTCTTTTTCTCTTCTCATTCCGCAAGAGTTTTGGGACAGAAGCAGGTTACCTAACTAAGCCTGAATGATTTAGGCTCAAAAAACCCTTCTTATTTAAATTCTTACTAAGAGCTTGTGCCAAATCCACTTCAAGATTAATACTAAACCCAATTCCATCTCGAGATCCACTGAAGCTTCTAATAAAACCAGGTGTAGAGACTTGCTCAACATTAAAATTTGGGTTGTGCACTATGTAACAACCCCGACTCAAGATTAGCGATAATCCATGATTTAATATGCCTAATAAGTTATTAAGATCAAATTTTAAATTAATTGCATATGCGGTGTATTATTTATATTTTATCTATTCATTGTAGGAGTATCTGTTTGAAATTTTTGTTACCTTTTTGTGAATCGAAGGCCTTATCGGCATCCGATTACGAAATTGATTTGGTATGTGTTATGTGGAATTTATAGAATTTTATAGTAGGTTTAATTAAAATTCGACTCGGAACGATTAAATTAGAATAATTAATGCTACTTATCTTAGCTTAGGTCAATTAATTAAATGCCACTAAGTGGGCTTATACAAGACCACTTTTATTTCCCTTATACATGTTTTTGACTTTCTTATTTCCCATTTTAGAGCTCAAAACGTGAGAGAAAGAGAGAATTAGAGAGTGAGAGTTGATCTCAAGAAGCAAAGGGAAGAATTGCTAGGAAATTTAGTGAATTGCTCAAGATTTTGCTTAAGTAGAGCTCAATTGAATAGCCTAGGTAAGAGCTCAACCTTACAACCTTGAAGTAGAGTTAATTCACCCATGAATTTAAGTGAATTGAGCTAGGAGATGTAAGAACCAAGCTTAAGAAGTAGGAAAGAAGACCAAATCATACATGCATGTACATTTCATTACATTTGGAGCATGTTTACTAGGAATTCTCTCATGCATATCTTAAATTGAGCTTAGTTGTAAGAATTCATCATGTTTTACTTCCTCTCATTTCATTTGATCATGATTTGGAAACTTGAAGCTCAATCATTTCATGCATGTCATGTTTTTGGAGAGTTCATGAAGTTTAAGTTGAATTTTTGAACAATTGGCATACTTTTGGGTCTTGATTTCATGAAATATTTTCCAGAATTTTGGTCCAAGAGGATGAGTTTTGAAGTGTTTGATTTGAGTTTGAAGCTTGGAGATCAAATCTGGAAATTCCAGAATTTGACTATACGCTCGAGCGTAGAATTTCACGCTCGATCGAAGCACTCTAATGCGTGCATTTCCACTCGAGTGACATGATACCCGCTTGAGCGTGAAATGCATGTATCCAGAAGTTTATATGTCTTGCAGCACGCTAGAGCGACAGAAGTCATGCTCGAGCGAGGGCCTGAGTTTCACGCTCGAGCGGAGATCTAGCGTTTGTCGAGCGTGAAAAATAAGCAACCAGTACTTTTTCAAGAGTTTACAGTCCGCTCAAGCTAAAAAAGTCACGCTCGAGCGAACCTTCACTTTTTGCATGTCCGCTCGAGCGAGGAAAGCCACGCTTGAGCGTGGACCCTATTTTCAACAAATTTTGAAAAATGATTTCGAGTGCAATTTTTGCATCCTCATTCCATCCTAGGCATTCCTAGGCCATGGTCAAAACATCATAATAAAAATAAGGGTAGGGACACACTAAGAACGAGAGCGTAATGGGTTAGATGCATTTCAACGTGTGTTTCAAATGTGTATTTGTTATGTGTTAATGTAGGTCACGTGCCGTAGACCATTTGATTAGCTTGTTCTATCTGTCTGCATCTGAAGCCATCTGTGAGTAATAACTTAGTAAAGCTAAGTTCAACTTTATTTATTTTCTGTATGATAAAATAAGGTCTGTTGTCTGAAATACTATATTCTGTACAATGAATGATTGTCCAATTTCTGATAATGTATTCGTGGCATCCTTAGCATCATTTGACATCTGTTAGCTGTTACCTGGTATCGGAGGTTCCATTATGGAACTTAATATGTCTGCACTCTGTTACCCATATCGGAGGCTCCATTATGGAGCTCAGCATGTATATTCTCTGTTACCCGAATCAGAAGGTTCCTTTATGGAACTAGTTATTCATAACCATCATATATTATGTATCTGTTCTGTTAACACTAATAGATATACCACGTATGATTAAGCATGAACTCTGATTTCTGTATATAACCTCCTCACCCAACTGACAATCACTAGACCCTGTCATTTGTTTTACTTCCTTGGTACATACTTTCTCTTCTCTGTTGAAACCTCCATCCCACTTTAACTCCTCAACAACTGTGTTTATCTCCATCACATTTTCTGCCTCCTTTTCCCTTAAACACTTCACTGGACTTGTTCTTTTCACAACACTGCCACAGATTTCGTTGGAGCTGCACTCTTCCAAGCCATTGTGCTTCAAGCTACTAAATTCTGCTAAATGATCTTCACACACAAGAATGAGATGTAGTTTACCCTTGCACTCCAAAGATATAGTTTTGTTAATAATCTCCATACAAGATGTATGAAATGATTGTAAACAAAATTGTGCTATACACACAAATTATTTTTCAGCTAATATTCTTTTGAAAAGACATTTTTTTACACAACACTTTACAGCTACCTAAAAAAAATATTTACAATTAAGTATTAAATGAAATGATTATAAAACAAAAATTGTGTCATTAGCAAAAACTATTTTTGAGCTACTAATTGTTTTTTTTAAAGACATTATTTAGACAACACATTATAGTAATAAAACAAAAATATTTATAATTAAATATTAAATAAAATGATTATAAAAATAAATACAACCATTGTTTATATATATTTTTTATTTTACAAGCCAATCTAATGAAATAAAAATTTAAAAATAAATTATAAAGAAAAAAATTCATACAAAATTTTTTCATTGGGTTTTGATCATTTGAGTATTCGTTCTTTTTTGGGGGTACTTACATGTAGGTCCTAATAAGTGGAGTTATTATCTAATAGGTCCTATGAGAAAAATTTGTCATAAAAAAAGTCACTAATTGTAAGTTTTAGCGACAATTTATAAAAATCATGACAAAAAAAAGTCACTAATTGTCAATTTTTAGCGACATATATAAAAAATTGTCACAAAAAAAAAATTTTTAGCGACAATTTTACTAAGACTTATTTTCAATAGGACTTAATGGGAATTAAGTCTAACTATTAGGACCTATTGGTAGTTTATTCTTTTTTTTGTATATATATATATATATATTTGGAAAAACGGTGTATAACAAGTCGTTACGACCGTTACGTAACACTGAAACAACCATTACACATAGTGGCGGAGCCATATGGGGACTAGGGGGGTCACGTGCCCTCCCTAGATTTTTCATTTTTTTATGTATATAAATAAAATTTTAAGCAAAAATAATATTTAGAGACAATTTGGGGTACTTACATGTAGGTCCTAATAAGTGGAGTTATTGTCTAATAGGT